ATGAGATATAATTAACTGCACTCTGTAATATAGCTATAGTTCTCTATATTTAAAACCTGATAACTAACAAATGTTTACGACTCTAACTCAATTTCTAACTTTATAGAATCTATTTGCGTTTTGTCAAGATATCAATAAAGTTCTATTCTGATTTCTGTCTGCGATCAAAATTTTATATCGTGAATGTAAATGTACACCTATGAGTGCACTGCGTAACAATCTATCTAAGATTCCGATGAAGACTATTACCTGGTGGATATCTGGATTAATATCGGACGGAAGTCCGTTTTATAAATATTGTGTACAATACAATTATTATTGCATATTTATCGTCATAATAACAAATCTGCATAATTACGAATCACGGATTTGTACGTTCTGTGTTTACAAAAATTATTAGTATTATCGCGTGGTCAGTAATAATTTGCGTGCAAGTCGAGAAGATTGTAAGTTCATTAACCATTCGTATCGTGTAAACACATAAATTCACACTCTATCCGGATGTACCTATATAATATTATATCATACGTTTTATTTAATATACATATATATATATATATATATATATATATATAGCTATATAGCTATATATATATATATATATATATATATATATATAGCTATATAGCTACGTCCGGTCATCCGGTTATTAATATTTGAAACGTTTGAACTGAAAGTCTAAAAGAAAGCCTTCGTGAAATGAAAAAAGAACAATCATCAAATAAACCAATAAGTTGTCCGCACGTGCGTGCGAGTTAATGACCTGCAATATTATTATTTTTATAATAGTACAATTAACGTGCATTACGCAGATATATTATAATGTACAAAATGATTCACCTAGCATACTTGACCCAAATTTTTTCACTAAAAAATGAATTTATAAAATTTTGATCTTTAAACATAATACTTAAAGACCATATTTTTAAATTATCGAGATTTTCTGTTATAGCGATACAAATTTCTGTTTTTTAAATGAAAACCCCCTTTTAATTACTATAATATAGCCCTCTTAACTTTCAAACACATTATCATGGAGCTGTTATACTGTTACAATCATTATACTTCGTACCTACACAAAATTAAATAACTCAAAAACTTCAAATTTTGATTTTGATACGTCAACATTTTCAGAGAAAAAAACATTCTCTAAATTATTTTCATTGCAAAAAGAGGACTATTATTTGAAAACAGAAAGTTATATCTCCACAAGACATTTTTTAAGTAATGCAAACAATTATCAAAGCATATAAAAAGAGGGTAAGCATTTGTATGATGATATTTACCCCGAATATAATACCAAACACGTATAAGTATAAACTGCTGGTTTAATCAAAATGATTCGTCCAATTTCAAGTAGTTATATTTTTTAAGTTTTTAGAAATCATTAGTCTATATGCCTTCTGGTTCCTACTTATAAATGTTTTGCCTTGGTTACACGAAGAACATCTAATTGAAAGTAAAATTCATCGCATATTTGTTCCAGTATATTAATTGATTCCCATGATTTTTCAACTTCACTTCGATGGTAATGGTGATACACGCACAATATCATTTCCAAAATAAGTTTCACATGGAATAAAATCAGGCGACCTAAGAGACCGGGTACCAAGCAAGATGTGTATTATTTTGAATAACCATGTTTTACATGGGTAAACGCTGAATCAGCGTTCGTTCTTTAATAGTATATTAATATCGCTTTGTTTTATTGCAACAGTGCAATTAAAATATACAATATATTTGTAAGCTGAGTGTACGTTATTGTACTAAATATTGATACGTAATGCTAGAAAAAATTCATTAAATAAAAAAAAAATCACTGAAAAAATTTCTATAAATAATTACTAATTTAGTGTTCTGTACTCGTAATATTGAAACGCTAAAAAAAAAAAATAATTTTTCAAATGTTTAAATCTTAATATAATGCATATTATGACTAATAAATAATGATGACAAATTATAATAAACAAATTAAAAATCTCTTTTATACATTTTGATATATTTGTGTCCAAAAATAAGTAATTTTTCTTTTCCATATCAATATTACATTTTACTTATTAGTTATTACACATTAATTAATTACAGTTATATTTTCAATGACTTTTTCCGATTTCCAATACGTATATAGGACTCCTCGTATTGTGACGCCATGACGTAAATGTATGTACCTAATATACTTATAAATTATAATACATTATTAATATAATTTGTAATACATGAAATATTGCGAGTCAATTGAATTGACGTTATGGCGGTGTGGCATAGCTGTTGTGACGCGAGAAAGAAGAAGTCTCGATCGTAATTGTAAATATAGGAAATCTCACGTGACAGCAGAGACGCGAAGACCGTGAATAAACTGTTTAATATAATGGATGAGAGTATGTCAGACGAAACGGGCGCGCGTCATCATTATAATGTAGGTTAGGACATCATTTACTCAGAAAATCCGTAACTGTTCGATATACCCTGTCTGGTAGTATAGCTGCAATATGTACGTATATTCAGTTGGAAATAATTATGCTCTAAAATTACTCCCTCCCACTTCTAAAAAATTTAAATTTTTAATGTAAAAATGAATCATATAGTGGGACCCCGAAAATATTATTATCTTAATATGAAGGCATAATATGCGTAAATACAGAATAATTTGGCATCCCTGTACCTCTCTACGCTACTCGTCTAAACTTAAAATATCTAACTTACACATATAACCTACACTCGCCCAAAATTCAATTTATGGATATTAATAGAATGCATACTATCATTAAAATTAAATAAAAAAATGATAATGCTAAAAAATAGTAAAAAACATGATTTCTTTATTTTTTATAATGACTTAAAATTACGTTCAATTATTGAATATTTTTACTATGGGTGTTCTCCGATAAAACAACCGTCTCATTTATATGTCGCGTTTGTTTATTACTTTAGGCTTTAACTTATAAACGTGTAGTAGGTACCTAATGAGCAAATGACTATCAATCGAGTGCGTTTTATGTATACAATTACGGTCAACGAATTCAAAAAATATGTGAGCAATAAATAATCATCGTAGTAGTAATCTTTCTTTGGGACGCAGTAAACCGAATACGAGCTATTTATGCATCCCGATAAACCCGTCAGACACCGCCGTGGCGCGGCGTCTTGGTGGCAGATTTACATACATGGCAATGATCGCGCGATCATTCGTGTGTAAATCATCGTTGTATAGGATCCCGACAAGTATAATCTCAAATCGGTTTTTTTTTTCATCAAATAATAATTGCGACAAATGAGCAGACGCACATTAAGAGTATATTATAATATTATACTGTAGATACCAGAGATACCTATACCGGCGGCTACATCTGATACGCATTAATGTATTATAATATCTGACATTACGCACTTGATGTTAGGTCTCAGCGATTATGGCAGTGGATGATAAACGACAATCGTATACTTACATTATAAAATATATTGTACATGAATGATCGTCTTAAATGCAACATTCCTCTCGCCCGTGAAGATATTGTTCAACGAGGAGAAAATTAATTATACGATCGCGTTAGCGAAATAAATAATAATATTATAAGTGCCGACTTTCAGTTCATTTTATTATTTATATAACATTTATAAATATATACTGGAATATAAATCTATTTTTTCAATAATTTTCCCATTTGGCTTCAGTTAGAATTCATAGGCAATAGTGCAATACTAACAAAATAACAATGATTAATTTTTGATGTAATCGTTAAGATCGGTCAATTACGTACAACAAAAATATGCCCAAAATTAAGAAAGCAAATCGTATTTGTAAATCATAAAAATAATCTTTGTGATAAAATTGTGTTCATAAATATTTAATTTTATGATTTGTTTTTATTTTTATACATTTGTAAAAATATGTAAAATATGCCATATTTCTCCTTATAAATTATAATATTAATATAATCTATTATCCATCAAAATAAACAAAAACATACCCAAATTTCATGAGTCAAAACAAAATTTATTCGTAAGCGACCTATGAGGATCGAAAAAATAATTTATAAACATCCTCCGAGTATCAAAAAACCTATCGACGTAACTTTTATTAAAAACAATCCAATAGTTATTTAGTCAATCGAAAACAAATATTTATTTTCATACATAAATATCGGTGTGCATTGATAATATATTCTGCACAGGCACTAATTCGTTTTGTTTCATAGGAAGATGGTTATTGTTTACTTCTAATAGTCTCAAAAGTGTAAAAATCTTATTCAGATTGGTGAACGTTTGAACGATATCTCCACAAACACTGCACGTCATCTGCACCACACTGCAACATCTTAGCTCGACGCATTGGGACATGGTTTGAGTTTTTTTTTTTGATTCATTTCCGTTCCGAGAGAATAACGATGGTGTATATATTATTGTAATCTGAGAGCTGACACTCTACTTTTGATACAGTAGATAGTGAAAATTCTAATTCATAATAATATTATTATCATCACACTTATGCGTATTATATACACATTTTTATTATATCCGCAGTAATAATTACATATTTACGGTTTCATCGACCGCGACAATATTTTACGTTGCACTGTGTGTCCGTTTACATAGGTATATGCGATATGCCTATGGATAATCTTTTTTAATTTTGAGTTAACAGTCTCGTGAGTCGTGGATCGAAAAATTCCTCATAGTGGTCCTCTGTGGTACACGTTTCGTTAAAAAAAAAAAAAAAATGTTTACGCACGTCACTATCGACTCAGTTGCCATCAACGTATACGCGTTTTAATTAATGTCTTGATGTTCTATATAGTACACACATTTTAGATGACGAACGGTAATTTTTACGGTATTATTATATACGCGTTATTGTTTGTATATTGTCCGAAATGCCTGCAAGGATACGATGTCCTTTGGCTAAGTCACACATATTTTATTCTCTTCGGCGGCGGTGCATTGATATACGAAATACCTATACCTACGTATATTGGTATTAAAATATTATTTATTATTCACAGGCACACAATCGGATTCACTGTCCCGACCGTCGTAGTCGTCATCGTTACTAATCATTTTTACGTTAATTATTATTATCATACGGACGGTTTTCGGTACAACGCGAACGGACGTGAAGACTATAGAACGTGAAGAGGAGGGCTATGTAATATCGCTTAAATTGCATCTGCAGTGGCGTATAAAATATTATGATCATTTGATGATTTATACGAAAAGCATGTAATATGTTATATTATTATTAATCATCGTGAGCGACGATAGGTAGTATAAGTACAATAATGTGGTGTCGGGTACGTCACGTCAATGTAAACATTACGTCCTCGTCGGCAAAAAAATAGAGAGCCATATATATAAAAGACGTGCACTTGATGTTATTATTATAATATTATATCAAATTTGTATACGATATATATAGGACATATAGGTACTTATTTGCTTTGCGTGTTATGTAAACGACTTTCCCACGTTCTCTTTCGGAAACGTTGTACGTCAAAAACCGGTCGTCAAGCTCGTACCCACTACAACACTACCCACTATAACTGCATAATATTATAATATATTTGGTCACATATTTTAATGATTTATATCATACCCATCGCATAATATATACAGTTGAGTGAATGACGCAGTGCACGCGCCGGGTCGTAACGATCGCGTTCAACAGTAAACGCTGTTATATATTCAAACTCGCAAAAAATTAAGAATATAAAACAAAAATAAAAATCCCTATACAATATTTTTAATAAAATCAACGACGACAATCGTTAAAACAGCATAAAGTGTAAAACATTTATGCGTTCGTTTGTGTGTATGTGTGTTTGTGTTTTTTTAACTTTTGAATAACAAAACGCTTTTTTATTTCATATTTCTAAGTCAGCAGAATATATTTCAGAAATATCATTACATACAAAAATTTTATTTTTAACGAGTACTTTCGTATATAGCCAAGTGTGTAGTTTCAATTTTGATAGACAAGTTTAAATGAGCGAAGTGCACTGGCACCCCATAACATGTTGGTCCTTGGTCCACTAATCCACTCGTCTTAACTTAAAAGTTAAAATATTAAAATAACTAATTACGTAAAATACTTTTCAAAGTCCGATTTAATGTACCCAAGTCTAGGCGACCACTAACCGCGATACGCCGATACATAGTTTCCTGCTTCAATGTTATTAATGTTATTATAGTTATAATGGTTACACTGTACACACTCGAACTCCCGACGATGTATCACTCACCTGAAAATTGCAACATTTGAGGGCTACAGATAATTTGATTTCTCAACATCTGCGGCGTGTGATGATTGTTATGTCGAATCGCAATAAAAAATAAATTCAACTTTTCCCCGTTTTCGGTCGATTGTAAAAACAATAACGATTAAGGTCATCGCGATATGTATACCTACCTGCATACTAAAGTGTTGCGCAACGTTGTTCATTCCGTGCAGCATTGCCTCCGCGTTCACAATATTACTTTGATATGTAAATAAAATACTTGACTTAGACGGCGACACACATTACACGTCTAAACGGTCGATAGGGCGCGGTAGTGAAGGGAGAAAAAAATCTTCGAATATAATCGAGCAAAACACGTACCTGCACGTACGACGCTATTGCTTGTAAGTCGTACCACCCGCGAAGAGCAGTTGGTGTGCGAAATCGCCGGAGCCCGCAGGAGACTTAAAGTATCGGGTCGGTGATAAGTGCGATGATCCCAACACTCATCGGTTTCGCAAACAACGCGAGTATCCGCGCACAGGATGACGGAAGACGGTGTCGTCACTCGTATCTATAAACGCGCCTGAACGGTATGATGGAAAGAAAAAAATAAACGACACGAGTTACCCCGCAGCCGTTTTCGTCGTTTTAAAATTATTACTATTATTCCAGTGTAGGATTTTGAAATTTTCGAATAATTATTTGTTCGTTTCATTTCGCGTGTTTTGGCGGCGTTTCCAAACCAGCGTAACAACACAAAATATATACATCACGATACGATGATGGCATAATATCATATATTATACGGAGCACACAAACAAGTGCTATCATTCTATCGTCTATCGTTGTGCGTATTGTACTACGAGATCGCGAACGGGCGTCGAAAAACAATGAACTATATACATTAGGACACACTCCATATTGCACTGTATATTATGCGCTTACTGCCCGCGTGTGTCCGTTAAATTGCTATATTTTATGGCGAGGACGATATAATGTCGTATTATATTTTAGCCTACTTTCGTCGGTCACCCTCTGCACCGTCATTGTGATACATTAATATTACGCGCAGTGTATGCACCGCGCGTGTGTGTACGTATAGGTACGTATTATCGCACGAATTATTATTCCGTATCGGCGTAATCGGCCGTTTTGCGCAACGCGACGCGCCTACGAGAAATCTTAATTTTCTGCACACATATTGTACGCGACCGTTTTACTGTAAACATTGTATTTATACGAAAATTGCACAATCGCAATGATAATAATATTATTATGGCAATTTTATTGTACTATTGTATGTACGCATAATACCTGTAGGTAAATACTATTATGTTGTGTTGCGTTTTTCGATTTCAAACGAACCGCCACCGCCGCCGATAGCCCACGCTAATTATTGTGTCGTAGTATTCGTTTCGTTTTGTTTATACGGCCAACGCACACACACATACACACGTCTAATTTATTTAAAATGTAAATATTTAATACTATACGTGCATTTCAAATTTACCGCGAGATCGGCAAGAGCTGAAGAAAAGGCCTCTTATTTTTCGGACCGAGTGGAACATGCGTGTTTACCGGCATTGTATCGAAGAACCGTGTTTTTGGATACTATAACAGTTACTGTATGTAGAAAAAAAAAATTAAACGATTTTTGAAAACCAAACACAAAACCAATAATACATTTCAAAGTATAACGTAATAAATAAAGTAAATAAATTGAACGATTATAGCTTTTTTTTATCAATAAGCATGAAGCATACAAAGTTTACTTTTCAAGCATTTAAATAATGTACCACATGTTGCACGGGGTTGCCACTTATCACTCCTAATGAACTACAAAATAAACATATATACTTATATTTTATATTAGCTGGATATTCGATATATAATAAACACACTTTTGATTACATAAAAAAACGAAAAAATGTATTTTCATTTAGTAATCACAAGTTAATTTAGCGGTTTCAGCATCAAGCAAAAGTGTTAATAACATCACGAATATAATATACGTATACACAATAATAATAAAAATGATGACAAAAATGTCAGTATTTTGTTTCCGATCACCAAAATATTAAAAGTCTCAGTATGAAAACTGTTGTTCAATATAATATATTCGTCCTGTATACACATGGACGTCAGAGAGGACAGCTTATAATTATATGTGTTGTATACGGGTTCGAGGCTTATATTATCAAACAATATTATAATTTATAATAGAAGGTAGAAACTAGAAGGTTCCTAAAATATAATGTATTTGTTAAACTGTTTATTCATTATTTGTGCTTATACGGTTTTTAATATCCGAAAAAGGAGATAATTGTTTGGGAACGTTCTCACATTATAATAATTTCATTACGCAACATTAAAAATAAAATAACAATACTGTCGACTCCGAAACAATGTCTGCATTAATTGGTCTCCGGCCATCATACCGATTAATGAAAATAACAATTAATGATTTTTAATTTAATTTTAATTATTTTTTTTTTCAGCGTTTTTCGACGAGAGAATTTGCCGAGCGGACATACAACGCATAAGACGTTACACACAACCGTTACTGCTGCAGCCACGAACAGTTTTTTTTTTCTTTTAACGGATTTAATATGTCATTAATTATTTTTAATTAATTTTAGTGTAAGATATTACCTGTATTATTTTATTCATAGAAACGATAATGAAAATGATGTCTTTAACATACTATACGTAGCATAATATGTACATAATTTATGTATCAATAGCGACCACGTACTTAACGTACAGGTACTATTTTATTTTACGTATATTTTCGTCATTACTAAACACTCGTTGGCTTGTTGCCCACGAGTATCACAAGAAACTATAAACGCGTGTATGTGTTATTGGCTATTGCATTGAATTTTTTTTCACGGTTTCAATAGAGAAAACGTTTTTTTGTACTAACTATGAACTCGACCTGTAACACACCATAATTTCAGTTTTACGTTAAATGTATACTTAATTATTATTATTATTTTTATTTTATAGAAAAAAAAAACGTCTGACCGACACTGTATTGTTATGAAATTCGTGTTGGATAGGGGAAAATGCGAAAATTTATAACATGTACGTTTAGTCTGCCTGACACTTGTTTTATTTTATTGGTACAGCTAATGTCCATGAATAGTTTTTCTTGCGCAGGTATAAAACGTTTTCTTTTGTAAATATTATTATTATTATACGTACTAAAACATAAATTTGTTATTTAAATACGGTTTTGCTCAATAATATTTTTTTTTCATATTAATTACTTCTATTTTATCTTATTTTTTTTTTTTTTGTACTTAACAATAATATTAATTTTGATGTGTTTACGTCTTAAATATATTTACACGTTGAGAGATAATAATTACTTAATTCAATAATAATTTTTTGTGGATAATTATACAACAATAATATAAAAAGGTATTTCGCCAAATGTAAATACGGAGAATACTTATTTTAGTTTGTTTAAAACAAAAAAAATATCTTGCGATATTTATCCGCTGTGGGTATATCGACTTCATTGAGATTTTATACATTCGAACGGCGTAATAAAATTTTCAATTAAAAAAAGGCACCGTTTGTAAAATTTACTATAAACGTGCATACTTAAAAGCTAAACCCGAGAATATCGTTATTTACCAACTTTGTAAAACGATATTTTGTTGTGGTCGTAAACAAAATAAATATTAAGCTCCGTGGTGGAAATAAATGAACATTTAATATCTGGCCGTACCTGCCTATTGTACATAAGTATAAATTATTATTATGTTATTATTATTATTATTGAATCGACGACTGATGTAATGAGTAGGGATAGCGTGCCATTTTTATGCTTATACAAAGAATGGTATTTTTTATTATAGATTTTTATTGATTAATATTATTATTATTATTATTATCATTGTGTATGACTTAATATAGAAATGCTGTTATTAAAAATATGTTAAATAAACGATTTTTAATTGATGTCAATTTATATTTTATTTCCAATTTTTTTTTATAACCTATAAAAAAAAGTATCAAATTCAAAATATTTTAAATAATAAGTGTATATGCTTGTTTACGTCTAGCATGTTTATAATATATACACAGAGTGGCTAACCAAGCTTACTCACCCCTTATTTTTTAAATTTCCTTTGATAATGAATTTATTTAAATTCTGATTTTTAAAATGTTTAAGTATATACATTCAAGTTCACATTATCAAATTTTTAGATTTTCTTGTGCCGATACTCCGTTTAACCTAACAATAACTAATTTTTTATTGCAATTTATAAGGCAAGAGATTTTTTTTTTTTGAAATATTGATGTATCTATAATTAAAAATGCAAACGTGTGATTTCTAAGTTTTTAAAATGTTTATATCGAAGATACTTCTTTAAATTGGTTTTACAAAAATATAGAACGAATGTAATACCGCGTTTAGTATATTCATTACACTCAGATATTTTTAAAAATTAAAAAACGTCGATAAATTAATATTAATTAATTATGTTTTATACGTATTATTATTTATTTTTATTAGTCAAGTACATGAAATTAAATCATTCAAAATCACACGAATATCACTTTTAGATAAACGCATCGAAGTTTTCAAAAAAATTATCTAACGATGAACAATTTAAAAATATCGATTGTCATTTAAAAAATAAAAAGAAGTTAGTACCTATCACCATATGATCGTACTCCTTAAACGGTATAAAAATCTGAGTATTTAAAAATTTGTTCCTTATATGTATTAAAAAAGTTTCAATAATCATAATTTGAACAAATGTATTATATAAAAAAAAAAAATTGATAACGAACATGCACAATGAATTACTCTGTGTATATGCACACACACACACACACACACATATATATATATATATATATGCATGCGTGTATGTATTTGTGCATTAAAAAAAATAATGCAATACACTATAATAATAATAAAATTGTGCACAGCGAATATACGATTACGAGGTATAATATATGACTTATTACGACATGTACCTAATAAATCGGACGAACCATAACGGCGGTGGTTACTACGTACTACTACTGCAAGTGTATTTTGTTATTATTTAGTGGTATACACCTATCTCGAGACTAAAATTAATGATATAATTGATAGAATCAATTATGTCGTTATAACGACTATACACACGCAATTACTGTGATATTGCAAAATATAAAAAATCATTTCTCATTAATCCTTTTACATTTCGTTTCATTTGTGTCTGCGACCTAGTGGAAACAAAACAATAATTTTGTACCTATATTTTAAGGTATAAATTAATATTTTTTAAATATAGCGATATTCGCGTATCATATTTATAGATGCGTATGGCAAAAACACCACGCGGGGAATGTCAGAAAACGTATCGGACTGGAAAAAAAAACAATTTTAAACATCTGACTAAATCGTACGGATTAAATTTAAATACTAGCTGCAGTGAAACGTAAACGGGTTAAATCTGCAGAGTATTCAGAAAATATTAACATAGCTACCTGCAGCAGCGACTTAATTGCGAGAATTTTAGCTCAAGCCTTAAGGTGCACTATAATAATCTGCTCATACAGGGCAATATGAAAGTGTACGAAAATCTAATAAACTATAAACATACTTACAAATAATATCATAAGCCAAGACTGTATAGTTGCTAGCTATGTGCGTATGTGCGTAGTGCGTATTTCGTATAGTTTCCATTTGAACGGAATATAATATATATCAATGTACTATGGGAAAAAAAAATCTTAAAAATTAATTTTTATAACGTATGTGAATAATTGTAAAGTATACATTTGATATCAGGGCATACCGTGGAGTTTTTTTATAGTTATTGATGTAAATATGTAAAATATGTAAATAATTCAAAACAAACCCGTTTTAAACGAAAAAAAATATAGCGGAAAAAAGTTAAAAAAGGTAACGGTGTTCAATATTATTCATAATGTACTTCAATGATGCAAGTTTAATAAAATGCTCATTTCATTATTTTATTACTAGAAATAAATAAAATAAAACCTTGAATCAAGGTAGGTACGGCACGACTATCGTCTCTGTCATGAAGTGATCCGAGCACTATATCGATGATAATATTGTGTTTTCATTTATTTATTGATTTTTTACGATACATTTAATTATGTTATGTATATATAACAGTATGGACAACTTTAAAAACGGCTTTGCGAAATCTGACTTGTGTAGGTACCTATAAAGGTTAAAAATTGTACACTTGGGTATAGTAATTTATAAAATATTAATTACTTACAAATTTTGTCGATGAATTCAACAAAATATAAGGAAAACAAATAGTATTATTTAAACCTAATTAGTAATTAATATTAATTACAACACTGCCGTTTCGCTTTGTACACAAACATCAGGTACAGTATGAAAATCGCAAACTTCAATAAAAAGTATTTTAACTAACATAGCGTATGTACACTCATGTGGGCCATATGGCCATATATTAATGATCGTTCTATGTGTATAATTACAAAACATAAATCTTCATTGTTCACGCATGATATACTTACATATGATAAGCGATCAATGTACTCGATGCAAATATGAATGTATAATAAATAATAGTATTATAACTATATCATTATAATATACTTATAACTGACAACTACGATATTTTTTTCAATATTGTTAGACTATAAAATATATTATAGTTATTTGATAATAACTATACCATTACTTATTAAAACCTTTATTATTACTTCCAAAGTTCTGCAGTCGACCATTTATGCCCTGTGCTTCACTCCACATCGTTAGTGATAACTTACCAATTCGATTTTTATTTTTTATCTGATACAAAATTCAAAAAACATAAACTAAAAAACAAATATTATTAGAAAAAAATGTTAATAATATTAGATTTCGTTCTAATCTATTTACAAAAAGTAACGGTAAATTTGGTGTTCAATTAGAAACATGCGATAATATTTGTATACACAACCTTGATATTTCAATTAGTTTCATAATAATATCACTTAAATATGTAGTAGAAGTTTCTTCAAACAAAAATATGAATCTTCACGATCTTTGCAATTAAGTTGGTACTAACGCACTTGCGCACTAATACTAATTGAAACAGTAGTAAAAAATATTCTACACTTCTCTTCCTATAGTAAGATCAAAGCCAAAATAATATAATTGGCTAATTTACTCCTTCAAGTTTCGCCTGCAGAATATGCTTAACCCAGCATATCAATCGCCACGAGACAACCGAATCAAACTTAAAATTAATTAATTTCCATTTTTATTTTCTATATTACACAATAGAAACCTTTAAATATTTACTTTAGTACAACACTAACCTATAACATAAGCTTTTATATAATTTTATTTACTTATCTATCTACTACTATTCATGAAATCATAATTATAAATACAATTATAAAATTATTTAAATTCCAAAGCCCTAAGTGGCTACGAATTACAATAAATAAAAAATAAGTACATTTTTATGTGACCTATTTTTAATATTCCATAATGGATTTTGCGGTTGCAGTGGCACTTACTGAGGTTTTTGCAACCCAATTATTGTTATTTATAAAATAAAATTAAAAAAAAAATGTATTTTACGAGATATAATTTTTTCCATTTCGACGTAAGTATTAAAAAACACGAGAAAAAATACTTTTACTACTTACTCATTAATTTTTCTGTAATTTAAATTTTTTTCCTAAGGAACGATATTTGTCCACGAATTTGTATATTATGTTTAATTGTCTTCTCTACTGGCACCACTGTGTAATAACCTAGAGTATAATAGACTAATGATGTAAAATTAGACATCGTATATTATAGATTATTGTCATATCGACGTGCAATTTTTATTGTATATCTATGCGGTTTGAAAAAAGAGGGTTTTCGTTACATTCGATGGCTCTTATGTGATCTTTACATCATTCCAATAATTATTAGTACTACTTAATAGAAAATAATAGTAACAAAAATAAACGCATCATTTGCGTATTATAGTGATTCAGGATGCGTGATTTCGCCTTTTCAGCTTGCATTTAAATATTATGGACGAGTAGTTTACCACAACATCGCAGACATTGTAATATGTAATTATTATGATTGGCCTATGAATATTCTTCTCTTTCACTATATTTATTCTTGTCTAACTATTACCTGTTATTCAGATACGGATGTTTACATGTATGCTTGTGGAGGTACAAAACAAGTGTGGAACCTATACGCAATATCCGCGAATTGTTGTTACTAAACTGTAAACTGCAACG